ATGCTAACTGATCTTCTGTATATAAAGAGAATTGAAAATGATATTACTTGATGTGAATGGAAGAGGAGAGGGAGTGGGACAGGGGAGGGTTGCGGGTGGGAGGGACGTTATGGGGGGGGAAGCCATTGTAATCCATAAGCTGTACTTTGGAAATTTATATTCATTAAATAAAAGTTTAAAAAAATCATATATATATATATGTATATATAGGTATTTATGGCTTGACATCCTACCATAGAGTCCTCCCTTCCTTCATTCCTCCCTGCCCTCTTTCTCTCTCCTTCTTCTTCATATTCCATTATGATAATTATTTAGATGGGGAAATTGTTTAGTTTTGGCCGACAGGAGTCTCTCTTCAAGCTAGAGTGTCTTCCTTCTCCCATTTCTGTATTGCTTCCTGCTTTCTGGCAGAGCAAACTGTTCCAGGCTCATCTTGTAATTCCCTGCCAATCCTTGAAATGACTTATTTGTTCAAGAAGCTGTAACTTTTATTGTAAAATGGTATTTAAAAGGTCAAGATCTGGGTGCTTGGTGTACTCACTGCTCCTGCAGATCATCGGTTTTAGGCCCAGTAAGTGGCTAGACTTGGGAAACAACTATACGGCTGTACATGCTTACATGCACCCTGTGTGAGAGAGAGAGGAGAAAGACCACACACATCTATATCCACTTCTAAAATACATGTTTGAAAACATTTTGGAGTATCAAACTAGGGGAAAATATTTCTTCAATTGGATACAGACTACTGCCTGACACTTAATAATTACTAGATAAAGTGTTTAAAGTGGTATCAACGTCTAATAAGTATTTTGCAATCAAATTGCAACTATGAGTAAAGTGAAGGTCCAAGAAACTGGCACATTACAAAGCTGAAATAGTAATAAAAATATTTTCCTTTAAAACCGATTACAAAATTCATGGACCCAAAAGAGGCATGGTGAGCTGACTGATGATCTGGTGTCCTGCATGAGCAGAAATCCCAAAAAATGGGTGAGGGCCGTTCTGTCGTGGCAGCCGGCAACCCAGGATCCTTCACACCGTGTGCCTGCAGGAGAAATCCTCTCGGCGGCGTTGCTCTTCAGAGCGGTGTTACGGGGCCTTGAACAGCTACACTGGCATCATCCTGGAGTTTCTTAGGAGCATTGGTCAGACAATGCTGTGGAAACAAGAGGAGGAGGCACAGACGAGTTCAGGTCTAGCCTGGGGCTCTCCACCTGGACAGCACTGGCAGTCACAGGCCCGGGCGCCAGACCCTGAAGAAGCAACTGTACAGTTGTGGAGGCCCCTGAGGAATAGGGCCAGAGGGGGAGCCCCTTTTTCTAGGCCTAAGGGTGACACTGCAGTCCTCTCCCATTGCCAGGCTCCCCCCACCGTCTTGCAAAATGCACGACCGTGACCATCGGCTGATGTTTTCGAGCCCCAGTCTCAGCGCCGCCATTCCTAGGACAGACTGGCTGACGTCAGGGCGTGTACATCGTAGGGAGACTGACATCACCAAAACTGTGCCCCAGGAACACTGGCTTGGACTTTCGGCCACTCCGCTCCGAAGAGCAGACCTAGAAGAGCTGCAACATACTGACACAGAGACTAACGGTGGCGTTAGGTTTCACAGTCAAATGGAGAAACACACTGCAGTGTGTCCATCCCAGGCAACAGTACTCAGCAGTGGAAGGAATGAAGTGCTGACTCATGTGGCAGTCTGCGCACGCGCACTCACGCACACGCGTGTGCACACACACACACAATCTGCCTTTGGTTATGCTACAAAAGCTACAAGCTGAGTTTCCAAAGCCCATTTTATATATTCCTCTGTCACTGTATATATCTACCATCATTTAATGACTTCAGAGTAAGAGGAATAAATTTATCAAAGCTCAAAATTCCTATAAATGAACGCATGCTTTCATTAAAAAAATTCAGTGACATCATTAATGTTACTTGTCTCTGTGGCATTTTAATCTCATAATCGATTTCTATTTATTTGCTCTCCAGATCAAAGAGATATACATTATATTCAGATATAGTTTCCAAAACCATGTTTTACTACTACAAAAATGAAAAAGTATATGAATGTCACTTCTCCCCCAATAATAAAGTTGATAAAATTATCAAATTTCCACAGGGTTGGTTTGTTTTTTGGTATTTGCTTCATAGATGTGGGGTAAGAATACAGTATGGCACTACCTGAGACATTTTGATGAAAGAATGCTACAGTGACCAGAAGGCAATAATTTAAGGTCCAGATGGAAATACAGAGAATCAAAAAGCAATAATAAATTCAATGTCGACAAAGAAAATTTTGTCATTTGTAACGACGCTCAACACTTCCAAAGTGTGACAGTAAAGCCCTCCTTCAACAGTAACTTGTTACTGTGAGGTTAATAAAACTTCCAGTCTAATGCTGTCAGAAGAAATCAACAACATAGTTCAGCTTCTATCGTATACAACTTTGGGAACCAGCCAAGGCCCACATGCTGAGAACCCACTCGCAGGAGTGAGGGAGCTGACTGCAGCGGGGAGCAATCATGTGCATCCCAAGCAGCGTTCATTCTCTGAAACATTTTATTTCCCAGGTTCCCTTCTCTGGATGCGATTTGCAGATGCTGCACGTTCTTTCTGATTCGTTTAACCAGCACGTCCGGGGCACACTTAGCAGTGCTACCCAAGGTTAACTGATTCAGCAGCAGTGCTCCTGTCCCCACCGACCGTCTAGGGACATCCATTTCGGCATACCCATCACTGTACTTTTTTTTTTTTTTTTTGACAGGCAGAGTGGACAGTGAGAGAGAGAGACAGAGAGAAAGGTCTTCCTTTGCCGTTGGTTCACCCTCCAATGGCCGCCGCGGCTGGCGCGCCGCAGCCGGCGCACCACGCTGATCCGAAGGCAGGAGCCAGGTTCTTCTCCTGGTCTCCCATGGGGTGCAGGGCCCAAGCACTTGGGCCATCCTCCACTGCACTCCCGGGCCACAGCAGAGAGCTGGCCTGGAAGAGGGGCAACCGGGACAGAATCCGGCGCCCTGACCGGGACTAGAACCCGGTGTGCCGGCGCTGCAAGGCGGAGGATTAGCCTAGTGAGCCGCGGCGCCGGCCCCATCACTGTACTTTTGTTAAAGGCCACAGCAAATGCCTTCCCCTTCTAGTTCTGTCTTCTGAACAACACCTGATAGAGGTCAAACTTGTGACTGAAGCCCTTACTGTACCACTTCCAAGGTTCTCAGCTGTGTGGGGTGCATAGAGATATTGCTTTAAATATGGATGCACATAAAACAAGTACCTTCTCCCCTGCAAAACCCGAAGCTTACAAGCACTGGGGTTGTATGTGGGCTTTGCAAAACGTCATGTTGTAGAAGCCCTTTCCACTGGCAAGGCTCTCAGGTTCTCACCACGTTCATAACACGCATCTCCTGCGTGGATTCTGTGATGAATCGTAAGGTTGGACTTCCAGCTGAAGGTCTTCCCACACACGGCACAGCTGTACGGCTTCTCCCCCGTGTGCACTCTCTGATGTGACCGCAGCTGTGACGACCGACTGAAGACTTTGCCACACTCGCCGCACCTGTACGGCTTCTCCCCAGTGTGGACGCTCTGATGCAGCTGAAGGCTGGAGGCCTGACTGAAGGACTTGCCGCACTCCCCACACCTGTACGGCCTCTCTCCCGTGTGCACCCGCTGGTGCATGGCCAGATTCAGGCTCCACTTGAAGCCCTTGCCACACGCCTCGCACCTGTACGGCTTTTCTCCCGTGTGCACTTTCTGATGGGCTTGGAGGTGGGAACTCCGACCAAAGCCCTTCCCGCAGGCGTCGCATTTGAATGGTTTCTCGCCACTGTGCACCCTCTGATGGGCCAGAAGATTTGAGGCCTGCCGGAACACCTGCCCGCAGTCCTCACAGTGGTATGGTTTCTCCCCCGTGTGGATCCTGCAATGAATCTTCAGATCTGCCCTCCGACGGAAGCCCTTCCCACACTCGTCACACTTGTAGGGCTTCTCCCCAGTGTGGCCCAGCTGGTGAGTCTGAAGGCATGAGTTCTGATTGAAGCCCTGCCCGCACTCCTCACACCTGTAAGGTTTCTCTACGCTGTGGGCCTTCTGGTGGATTTTAAGATACGAACTCTGCCGGAAGGCTTTCTGGCATATCTCACATTTATCAGGTTTCTCTCAGTGTGGACCACCAAGTGGACTTGGTCATGGATTTTCATCCTGAAGCTCTTGCCATGCGCGTCACACCTGTACGGCTTCTCCCCAGTGTGGACTCCTTGATGGGCCTGAAAACTTGAACTGTACATGAAGCCCTTGCCGCACACTTTGCACACGTACGGTTTCTCTCCCGTGTGGATTCTGCGGTGGGCCTGAAACTGCGAAGGCTGAATGAAGCTCTTGCCACATTCTGCGCACTTGTAGGGTTTTTCTCCCGTGTGGACCCTCTGGTGGATGTGCAGATTCGAGCTGCAGGTGCAGCGCCTCCCACACTCCGCGCATCCGTACGGCTTCTCTCCCGCGTGCACCGTGCAGTGGTTATCGAGCCCTGATCTCCGGCGGAAGTTCTTGCCACACAAGTCACACTGGAACGGCTTCTCCCCGGTGTGGATTCTCTGATGTTCCTGCAGGTGGGACGCGTGCACGAAGGCCCGCCCGCACTCCTTGCAAGTGTGAGGTTTCTCTCCCGTGTGCAGCTTGTGGTGCACGGTGAGCGTGGCTCTGCGGCTGAAGCCTTTCCCACACTCTGCGCATGTGCACGGTTTCTCCACGGTGTGGACTTTCTGGTGGGCTTGTAGACACAGCTCTGGCTGAACTCCTTACCACACTCGGCACACTTACAGCGTCTCTCACCCCTGTGGGCCCTCTGATGAACACGAAGAGCTGAACTCTAACGGAAGCTTTTCCCACACTCGGCACACGTATGAGACTTCTCTCCCAGGTGTGACTGTGCGTGGAGGACAAAGCTGGCGCCGTCAGAGAACTTCTTACGCTCATTATCCTGGAGAGATGTTTGTCCAGGGAGGGTCAAGCACAGTCCTGTCCCAACCTGGCAGGACGAATCACCTGGTTTGGGGAACCAAAGATGACGCAGCGCGGGGTCTTGGAGTCTGGTTGAGTCGCCTGCAGCGTGCTCCCAGATCTGCTCACGAGAGCGCTCTTCACGCAGCTCTGCTTCTGGGACCGTCCCCGTCTCACCGTGGGTCCGATCTGCTGCAGGGACAGAGAATTCAGAGGCTCGGCACAGTCTTCAGGACGTCACACTTAGGTAAAGCACCGACACCTAACGGACCTGAGAAGGTTCAATCTGTCTTCTTCACTGGGCGTCACGGTCTCCGATCTGCGTGTCCAGAGGTGCAGGAAGTGACCCACTGGCCACCCCCACTAGGCTTTACGATGGATTTCCATTTCATCTGAAAGGCAGAGACAAAGATCTTCCATTCACTGGGTCACTCCCCAGATGCCCAAAACAGCCAGGGTGAGCCAGGCTGAAGCCAGGAAGAGGATTCAATGGAATCGTCTCCCCCATGGGTGGCAAGGGCTTGGACCCAACTCCCTAAGCCAACACCTTCGGCCTCCCAGGGTGTGCATTAACAAGAAGCTGGAACAGGAAGCGGAGCTGGGACTCAAACTCAGGCGCCCCCACGTGGGACGCAGGCATTGCAGGCGCTGCGCCAAACACCCACCCCGTTCCACTAAGCTTCAATAGACCTGTGTGACACCAAGTCTCCTGCATGAGAGCAGTCAAAGACTTCATTTTAAAACATACAATACGCGGGGCAGGCGCCATGGCACAGCAGGTTAAAGCCCCCCGAGCTGCAGCGTCGGCATCCCATTTGGGTGCCATTTGAGTCCCCGCTGCTCCACTTCCAATCCAGCTCCCTGCTCATGCGCCTGAGAGAGCAGCAGAGGATGGCCAGGTACTACGTGGGAAACCTGGATGGGATTCTGGGCTCCTGGCTTTGGCCCCGACAGCTCTGGCTGTTGCAGCTATTTGAGAGTGAACCAGTGGATGAAAGAGCGCTCTGTGTGTGTGTGTGTGTGTGTGCCTTACTCTCTGTCACTCTGCCTTTCAAATGAACAAGTAATCTATTAAGAGAGGACTTCTAGGGCAGGCCTTTGACCTAGCAATTATGCTGCAGTTAGGATAACTGCGTGGATGCCTGGTTCCAGCTCCAGCAAGGACTCCAACTCGCAGGGCAGCACCAGTGACAGCTCAAGTAATTGTGTTCTTGTTACCAATTCCATTGCGACCCCAGCTCCAGGCTTTGGCCCAGCCCAGCCCCCGTGCTGTGAACATTTAGGGAATGAACCAGTAGGTGGGAGTGTGCGCTTTCTCTCTCCCTCCCTCCTTCAGACATATAAATAATTTTCTCTGGAAAATTTTTTTAAAGGTTTTATTTATTTATTTGAGAGGTGGAGTTACAGAGAGGGGGAGAGACAGAGAGAGGTCTTCCATCCGCTGGTTTACTCCCCAAATGGCCACAGCTGCTGGAGCTGTGCTGATCTGAAGCCAGGAGCCAGGAGCTTCCTCTGGGCCTCCCACGCAGGTGCAGGGGCCCAAGGACTTGGGCCATCCTCTACTGTCTTCCCAGGCCACAGCAGAGAGCTGGATCGGAAGTGGTGCAGCTGGGACTTGAACCGGCACCCATATGGGATGCCGGCACCGCAGGTGGAGGCTTAGCCTAGTACCCCACAGCACCAGCCCCCGAAACGTTTTTGTGAACAGGCACCTCTTGCTTTGCTTCAGTGGACACCCGACAAGCAGCCTCTATGTAGCTCTGCCGTGGTCATTTCATCGGAAAGCGACTTCAACGTCTAGGCGACTGGGATGGCAATGTGTCGGGACCCCTAACACACACTAAAACACGCCTAGCAGGTGTGTAAGCAGAGGGGAACTGGAGTTCCGGCTCTTACAGGGCCTTTATGAGGACAAAAGGAACGGGAAAGTTGAACTAGCAACACACATCATTCCACAACCTGACAGGAAGTCAGACCTCCAGGGGAAAAAAATGCAGAGCTGGAATTTAATCTTTTCCCACCTAGACGGAGTCCCGGAGCAGGAGGGGTCACAGCGTCAACTCCTAGAGCTGGCCCGAGGCGGCGACTCCCACGAGCAGGACTGTTCCCTGCCAGCCACCCGGGTGGGCTCTGCTCAGCCTCAGCTCAGCCTCGAGGCCTTCTTCATTGCCCGGTGAGTGATGGCGAGCCTGGTCCCCACCCAATTCTCCCAGGTAACTTCCGGCCCCTGGAACCTTTCCACCACCAGACGCGCCCTCTCATTGGCCGTCTGGAGTGCGCACGTCCTTCCCACCACGGTGCAGCGGCGACAAGGGACAGCACTTTGCATCTTGGACACGACCCCTGTCTTACACCTTCCTACCTATGAGCATGGCCCACAACAATACAACAGAGTTCAGCAATGGACAGATGGCTCCCAGGTGGACTTTCCCGTGAGGGCTGCAGCCAAGTCCCGGTGGGAAAACTTCTTTTCCAAGTCAGCTATTTGAAATATCAAAGGGACAGCGCATGGCAGGAAAACCCACAGAGGCGGGAAACAAAGGAGACAAAAATAAAAAAAATCAAAGATGGCAAAAAATACTTAGAGGGAAAAGAAAGGAGGGGGCGCCGCACATTGGCTCCTGCTGCAGCCTGGGACATGGAAGAACCGTTGTCTCACAACAGCTTCGCAAAGTCAAAGCTGAAACCCTGTCGTGAGGAGCGAATTCATTTAAAAGCTGGACACGAGCATTCAGAAATAAAAAGGGGCCAGGCGAGGAACTCTGCGAGCCGTACCCCTGCAGGAAAGGGGTCACGTGGAGCACGTACTGAAGCCACGCCGTGCGTCTAGGCGCCCGTGAAACCCTGCTTCTGCTCGTGGGAAAGGTGCGTTTCTTCATGTGGCCCACGCTCAAAAGACCTTGAGCCTTTGGTTCTAGAAGGTACCCACTGGGAGACACGTGGGAAAAATGCTAACAGGTGCGTAAGTCCCTCGTGGACGGCACTGTGGCTAACGGTTGTATTTAACAAGCTGACCCTTAAAAGTCTCTCAAAGGACGTGATGAGTTTGAAGCAGAAGTTTCTATTTTTCCCAGGTTATCATGTCAGTTAGTTACACAGAAAACAAAGTCTTTTATAAAAACGTAGGGAAAATCACATGAAATCTGTATATTGGCGATATCTGTAGGAAATAAAGGCACAACGTATTCCTGAATCGGAGAAAAAGGCAACATTCAGCCGCGAGACTTAAGTCCTCCCCTGCAGCACAGGGCTGGGAGGCCTGGACACAGGGACAGGGACAGGCGCTCCAGGCGGGAGACGCCTTCAGGGAACCGAGTCTGCTGCCTGGCCACGGCCTAACGCCCCGAGAATCGGCTTTTCCTTCTGTGGGGCTGCTACCAAGTCGGCACCAGAATCCTCGCTCAGAACGTAACCCTGTCCAGAAGTAAACAGACGCCCTACAGGGGACGCGGGAGAGCAACCGGGCAGGCGTTCTGCTCGGTGCTCACGACCACGGTGTACACGCACGCCAAGGTGGAGAGGCGGCCACCAGCGAACAAATCCTGCTCCACAACCCCATTCCCTCTGCCTCGCCTACACCCGCCAGCTACCTGCGGCAGCCCTGCAGGCGGCACACTCGCCCTTCCAGAACACACCGGTTTCCAGGGAGCTGCCACGGCCCGGGACCGCTCCAGGCCCTGAGGCTGGAACAACCAACAAGTGACACAGACACAGCTCCTCCACTCGTGGCCATCACGCCGCAGCGGGGAGAGAGAGGTGGTGAGCGAGCGAAAAAATCCAGGAGAGCCGACATGACGCAGGGCTGGGTGCGAGTGGCCATCTTTTCAATGAGGCGCTCAGAAAAGGTTTTTCTGATAAAAATAAAACTGCAGCGAGTTTTGAAGGAAGTGAAGGCAGCACTGGATGGTTTGAGCTGTTTTCCAGGCAGAGCGCAGGGGCCATACGGGCGCCAGGCGGAAGCGTCAGGCAGAAGAATTGCCCCTAAAGAACTCCCGTCCCCATTCGCAGGGCCTGAGGACGTCAGGCTAAAGGACCCAGGGGGCTCAAGGTTGCTGGTCAGCTGACCTGAAACGGAAGACTGTACGTCTGGATGGACGCAGAGTAGTGAAGAGGGATTGTGTGAGAGGGAGGCAGAGAGAAATCAAAGGCCAGCGTTGTAGCGCAGCGGGTTAAGCCGCCACCCGTGATGCTGCGTCTCATGTGGGTGCCAGTTCGAGCCCCGGCTGCCCCCATTCCGATCCAGCTCCCTGCTACGGCCTGGGAAAGCAGTAGAAGATGGCCCGAGTGCTTGGGCCCCTGCACCCGCGTGGGAGACCCGGATGAAGCTCCTGGCTCCTGACTTCAGCCTGGCCCAGACACCTGGGGAGTGAACCAGCGGAGGGAAGATCTCTGTGTCTGTCACTCTGCCTTTCAAATAAATAGTCTTTAAAAGGGGAGTGGGGTTGGGGCAAGAAGCCAGTGCAGCATAACAACAAACATTTCGCACCACATGGTGGCAGCAGTGGTGGAGAGAAGAGAAACAGGAACGTTTCTATGAGGACTCCTGCTGCTATATCTCACCTGATCCCCTTTCTCTTTGGGTTGCTGTCTTCACGTCCAGCCCTTTCCTGTTTTCTGAGTGGGATGGATCAGGTGTGAAGGGGTGACACCTGTGAACAGGCAAAGTCACATTTAAAACAAACTCACTAACGCTGCAACTTACTGGAAATCTGGGTTCCTACTGCATACAGACCACCAGGTCATTGAAAGCAGTATTTTTTGGGGCTGGCGCTGTGGCATAGCAGGTTAATGCCCTGGCCTGAAGCACTGGCATACCATATGGGCGCTGGTTCGAGTCCCAGCTGCTCCACTTCTGATCCAGCTCTCTGCTATGGCCTGGAAAAGCAGTAGAAGATGGCCCAGGTCCTTGGACCTCTACATTCACATGGGAGACCCGGAAGAAGCTCCTGGCTCCTGGCTTTGGATCAGCACACCTCAAGCGGTTGCGGCCAATTGATGAGTGAACCATCGGATGGGAAACCTCTCTCTGCCACTCCTCTCTTTGTGTAACTCTGACTTTCAAATAAATAAATCAATCTAAAAAAAAAAAAGGCAGTGTTTTTCATTCTTAAAGTGACACTGAGGAAACACTAGTATTTTAGGCCTGTGACACATATGTAAGTCTGGAGTATAAAACCCATCCCTGGGGCCAGCGCTGTAGCACGTAGGGGCCAGCGCTGTGGCACATAGGCTAAGCTTTCCATGTGGCGCTGGTTCTAGTCCCGGCTGCTTCTCTTCTGATCCAGCTCTCTGCTGTGGCCAGGGAGTGCAGTGGAGGATGGCCCAAGTGCTTGGGCCCTGCACCCATGGGAGACCAGGAGAAGCACCTGGCTCCTGCCATCGGATCAGCGCAGTGCGCCGGCCGCAATGCACCAGCTGCAGCAGCCATTGGAGGGTGAACAACGGCAAAGGAAGACCTTTCTCTCTGTCTCTCTCTCTCACTGTCCACTCTGCCTGTCAAAAAAAAAAAAAAAAAAAAGAAGAAGAAGAAGAAGATGGGCCAGGTCCTTGGGCCCCTGTACCCACCTGGGAGACCTGGAGGAAGCTCCTGGCTCCTGGCTCCAGACTGGTTCAGCTCAGGCTGTTGGGGCCATCTGGGGAGTGAACCAGCTGATGGAAGACCTCTCTCTCTGTTGCTGCAGCTGGCCAGCGTTGGCTACAATGTGTTTCCTTCCTCCTGAGACACTCTGACACTTTCTATCCTGGTGCACTAAAATTTATCAGTAGGAGAGTCAAGTTCAAGACCTCCAGAGCCTTGACCCCTGGACACACAAGGTCACTGCACAGGGTGACACCGAGTGTCCGAGCGCGCCCGTCCTCACCCACGGACAGCAGGTTCCGGAAGTTCTCCAGCATCACCTCGCGGTACAGCGCCCTCTGCGCAGTGTCCAGCAGCCGCAGCTCCTCCTCGCTGAAGACCACGGCCACGTCCTGGAAGGTCACCGCCTCCTGCAGCAGAGACGGAACATCAGCAGAGATCTTAACCCCCGACAGCCATCACCGTGACCAAGAAGAGGAGGCTGGGCGGGGAGCTGGCCTAGGTCTGCAGGGACTTAATCCATCTGTGGACTTTCTCCTATCCTGTCTAAGCCTCGCAACCATCTTATCCTCAGCCTCGTGAAACCCACAGCCACGACAGCCGCCCTCGTATTCTCACTTCGTGCCCTTGCTGATTCTACTTAGAATGTGCTAGAACTGTGACGCATCCTGCCCGAGAAACAGGCAGCAATTCAGTCAGCAACACAGAGCACGTCACAGGGAGCTGGGTCGGCAGGGGACGAGCCGAGCCGGGAACCAGGCCCTCCGACAAGGATGCGGGTGTCGTGAGCAGCCACTTAACCAGGTGGCTCAGGTCTGTCCCTCGAGACGTTTTCAATCCAACTTACCAACGGCTCGCTGCCAATGGGACAAAGAGGTGACCCGTAAACCACACCAACACGGGCCTAAGGGGACGAGGAACCAGGATGGCGCTCTTCCTGTGTGAAAACCTCTCGCCGGGTCTGTGGCTGCGCCGTGCCTGGATGTTCGGCTGCAGGGCAGCCAGTGCAGCACAGGCCAGAAGCGTCATTCTTTAAAAAAAAAAAAAGATTAATTTTATTTATTTGAAAGAGTTACACAGAGAGGCAGAGGCACAGAGAGAGAGGTCTTCCATCTGCTGGTTCACTCCCCGTATGGCTGCAACAGCCAGAGCTGCGCCGATCCGAAGCCAGGAGCCAGGAGCTTTTTCCAGGTCTCCTATGCAGGTGCAGGGGCCCCCAGGACTTGGGCCATCTTCCACTGCCTTCCCGGGCCACAGCAGAGAGCTGGATCGGAAGTGGAGCAGCTGGGTCTCAAACTGGCTCCCATATAGGATGCTGGTGCTGCAGGTGGCGGGTTTACTCGCTACGCCACAGTGCCGGCCCCTGGTTATTCTTTTCATAACTGATGTCTGGGAAAAGGTTATACCAGCAGGCTGCACCTCTGCAGCGTCACTTAACACAGTGATGTGCCTGTCACCTGTCTGTAGGGGGGAAGCAGCTAAGACTCCAGAGGCGCACAACTCAACAGGAACACGATGCAATCAAAAACGCGAACATTTCCACGTGAAATTTAAAATGTCACAATTGAAAATGAGCTACATGGGGTCTGTGTTGTGGCACGGGGGTTAAGCCACCACCTGTGCCACCAGCATCCCACATGGGCGCAGGTTCAAGTTCCCGGCTGCTGCACTTCCGACCCGGCTCCCTGCTTTGGTCCTGGGAAAGCAGCAGAAGACGGCCCAAGTGCTTGGGGCCCTGCACCCACTTAAGAGACCCTGGGTGGGGTTCCAGGTTCAAAGCTTTGGCCCGGCCCAGCCCCAGCCACTGAGGCTGTTTGGACAGTGAATCAGCAGATGGAAGATCTCTCTGTCTCTCCCTCTCTCTCTGTAATGCTACCTCTCAAATAAATAAATAAATCTCTTAATAATAAAATGAGATATATAAGGGTACCTCAAAAAGTTCATGGAAAACAGAATTAAGAGATAAGAATTTTGGTGCAAAAAAAATCTTTGCAATTATGCATAAAAATATAGTCACCAACGTACATGATGAAAAGAGCTTGAGAGACTTTCAAAACCTAGTTTGTGAGCGGGGGAGTAACGTGGGAAAATTGTTCATCCCCACTAACTTCTCTATTCTATAAAATATATAATAATCAGAGAGACAGAACCAAGCGCAGTCGAATCAGACGGGGAAAAGGCAGCCGCAGGTGCGCAGATTCTCTGCTATTTGCGGTCCTCCTTGGCCCTCAGTGTCACCACCCTTACCTCGAAGGCGGCCATTCCTCTCCCTCGTGCGGGGACCCGGGAGCGTCCGGACGTCCGCAGGGCCCGGGAAGGGGAACGCGGCCTAGGGACAGCCCCAGAAAGCGGGAAATGAGTCGCGCGAGGCCCCCGAGAGACGCTGCTCCCCGCACGGGCACCCGCGACTGCTCCTGGGAAGAACCCGCGGCCTCCTGGGCTCGCTCTGCAGGAGGCGCCTCCGCACACAGAATCCGCGCTCCCGGGGCTCACGCCCGCCTCCACGAACAAGGGAAAAGCAGTCCTCTCCACGGAGCCGCGTGGCATCAGGGAACTTGCTCGTGGGCCGTCACATTCTGAGGGGGACGCGCGCTCGTCCGCACCAGGGCCACCCCGTGCACCTGCGCCCCGGGCTCCCCGAGGCCCCCCTCGTCGGGTGGCTGTCCCGGGCCAAAGCCAAGTCCCTCCCTCCCCCTCCCTCCAAAACACTTTCCAGTCTCACGCCTGCTCAAGGTTGGGATTGCGCCTGCTCAAGGTTGGGATTGCACGGAGCTCCTGGGTTACACTTCCTGCAAGGCCCATTCGGAATTAACCCCGCATTCCCTACCTCTGGGCAGTCACAAGGGTACCTGCACTGGAGACTTTTTGCTTTAGGTCTTCTTGAGTCGTCCAACGAAAATGTCCCATGAACTCGGCTTCCTGACGTCCCAAGGCCCGCTTACGACAGCAGGATTTCAGGAGCAAGTTAGGGGAGCTGCATATATAAATATAACTGATTCACTTGAAAGTCGGTTACAGAGAGAGAGGTCTTCCATCCGCCACTCGCTCTAGAGGACAGCCGTCAAGGAGTTAACAGGAATGACCGCTGAGAGGCCAGCAGAGGACCGGAAGGAGGGCACTGTGTGATCTGACGGCCTGAGGCTGAAACTGACAGAGTGGGGAGGCCCCCAGGAGAGAGGGCAGCACCAGTCCCTTTTCTGGACCATGGGATGCCGTTGGTTGGCTTCTTAGGACAGACGACGGCCATCTGACGGGGCCAAAGGGGAAGCTGTGTTCGCATAGACAACTTAAATTTTTTCTGGTATTAGTATCAAATTGCAGAGAAAGACGTACGCATATTGCCGAATATCCCAAAGCAAATTGACTACTGAGGACGCTGACCTGGGAGTCAGTCTCTCGAAGCTTACGACCTGATGTGACAGCACTGAGTCCCTCAGGTGAGGGAGCATGTTTTATTATTAAGAGGTTTTCCCTTTGTATTTTTTTTTTGTTAAAGTATATTAATATAAAGTAAGAAAAATCTATCTAAAATATTTCCCCTTGAAAATAACTATTTTTTTCTCGCCATAAACATGCATCTCACTGTCGCGGGGGTGTGGATCCCGGCTACATTTACTCCAGGAGCTAAGTAGCTTGCATCAGTCTCAGGCCATGGCCCTACACCGCTAAAAACGGCAGCCCGGCCCGTCCCAGTTCAGCTCCCCCACTTTCCCCAGGCACCAGAGCGGCCTCATCAGGATCCCTTTCCTTTACTGACCCCTGTCTATCCCACATCCTCACCATCGGCACAGCAGGTTAAACCGCCAGTGGCAACGCCAGCATCCCATATCCAAGTGCTGCCTCAAGTCTCAGCCTCTGCAGTTCCAATCCAGCCAATGGTTCAAGCACTTGGGCCCCTGCTACTGGTGTGGCGATCAGGATGGAGTTACTGGTTCCTGGCTTTGGCCATTTAAAGAGTGAACAAACAAATGGAAGATATCTCTCTTTCTGCCTTTCAAATAAACAAATCTTTTAAAAATTAAATCTCAGGACCAGTGTTATGGTATAGTGGATTAAGTCACTGCCCGCCAACAGTGGCATCCTGTATGGACGCCAGTTCCAGTCCTGGCTGCTCCACTTCTGGTCCAGCTCCCTGCTGGTGTGCCTAGGGAAGCAGCAGAAGATGGTCCAAGTCTTTGGGTCCCTGCCATCCACATGGGAGACTTGGAAGAAGCTCCTGGCTTCAAACCAGCCCAGTTCCAGCCATTGTGGCCATTTGGGGAGTGAACCAGTAGGTGGAAGACCTCTCTGTCTCTCCCTCCCTCTCTCTCTAAACTCTGCCTTTCAAATAAATAAAAACTCTTTTTAAAAAATAAAGTCCCATGTTCCATATCCATTTTTTCTAACTTAATATAAAGTAGAAACTTTCTGTCAAAGTCAATTAAAAAAAATCTAACCTCTTCCAGTTGATGATTGTATGGTGTTACACTGAATGCATGAAGCACTGGCGCTGACCTGGAATTATCTGTAGCTAAGTGTTGTTTTCCTTTGAAACAGAAGCGGTGATATAAAATACTCCCCTTAGATGGAACAAAAGCTAATGACATGTGATTAGCGCGTCTATCTGCCTGATTCAGTCGGTAAGTAATGCTTGCTTGCGAGTTCCAGAAACTTGCCTTGAGAAAAGCAAGCAAAAGCTGCAAAGTGACCTGGCCCTTTCCTGTCAGCAGGGCCAGAGGATTGGATTTATGGTTGTTTGTTTGTTTGTTTGAAGATTTAATTTATTTGTGAGGTAGAATGACAGAGAGGGAGAGACAGGGAGAAAGATCTTCCATCTGCTGGTTCACTCCCCCAAACGGCCACAATGGCCAGAGGGGGACTGATCCGAAGCCAGGGCCAGGAGCTTCTTCCAGGTCCCCCATGTGAGTGCAGGGGCCTAAGCACTTGGGCCATCTTCTACTGCCCTTCCGAGCCATAGCAAGGAGCTGGACCAGAAGAGGAACAGCCAGGACTCGAATCGGCGCCTATATAGGATTCTGGCATTGCAGGCAGTGGCTTTACCCACTATGCCACAGTGCCGGCCCCATGGTTCACTCTTTTGTCAATTGCCTTAGTTACCCTGAACCTTCTTTCTTTTTTTTTCTTTTTCTTTTTTGACAGGCAGAGTGGACAGTGAGAGAGAGAGAGAGAGAGAGGTCTTCCTTTTCCGTTGGTTCATCCCCCAATGGCCGCAGCAGCTGGTGCGCTGTGGCCTGCGCACCGCGCTGATCCGAAGCCAGGAGCCAGGTGCTTCCTCCTGGTCTCCCATGCGGGTGCAGGGCCCAAGCACTTGGGCCATCCTCCACTGCCTTCCAGGGCCACAGCAGAGAGCTGGACTGGAAGAGGAGCAACCGGGACAGAATCCGGCGCCCCAGCCAAGACTAGAACTTGGGGTGCCAGTGCTGCAGGCAGAGGATTAGCCTATTGAGCTGCAGCGCCGGCCTTTTTTTTTTTTTTTTTTTAAGATTTATTTGAAAATCAGAGTTACACAGAGAGAGGAGAGGTCTTCCATCCGATGGTTCACTCCCCAGATGGCCGCAACGGCCAGAGCTGCGCCGATCTGAAGCCAGGAGCTTCTTCCAGGTCTCCCACACAGGTGCAGGGGCCCAAGGACTTGGGCCATCTTCTACTGCTTTCCCAGGCCATAGCAGAGAGCTGGATCGGAAGTGGAGCAGCTGGGACTAGAACCGGTGCCCATATGGGATGCCGGCACTTCAGGCCAGGGCGTTAACCCGGTGTGCCACAGCGCTGGCCCCCTACCCTGAACTTTCAACCTGTAGTTCTTAAGGCATCTGCCAAAATGCAAGGCACTTGTCTCCTCTTATTTCTGGCCACTCGACAATGCCCAGATGGAACTCTCTTCTCCATTTAATGACATTTCCCCAATCTCCTATTTCTTTTCAACAGCACTAAATTCCTTTGTCATCTCCACTTGTTTGGACATATCGTCTCTTCACAGCTTCCCCATTAACAACCGACTCCATAGCAAACAGAGCAGGACAGGACAAAGTACAGACCTGCACACACAGTGCTCCTAGGGCTTCTTGCATCCCACACACTATGCATACATGGCCACTCAACATGTGGCCAAAAGGACCCGGGAACATCCCGTGGCCTTCACACTTGTAATAACTCCCCAGATGTACCACTTTGTCTGAGATCTTGGGCTAACCCAGGACTCCTGTCAGGAATCTATCCTGTACCATCTGCAGGACAATCACAAGTGACAGGTCAGACAACAGCCATTCAGTCAGGAACGAAGACCTCACCCCAAGTGATGACTTCAGCGCACCTGCAGCACCAGCCTTGACACCAACACCCCGAGACGTCCAATCTCACGCTCAGCTCTATCAAGCAAGATTCCAGTGCCCCTCAGCTCCGAGCTTCACACCTCGCTCCAGCTGCCCTTTCTCCTCGCTCGCCTTCCCCACTGCCATCTATACAGCCCTGCTTACACCTTTGTCACAGCCCAGACAGCGCTAACGTCATTGTAGACGTAACTGATGCTCCAACTCTCCTGCTCATTTAATATTTGCGAGTCCATTTTCTCCCCGCCCCCTACAAAATACTACATTCTGCAAGAAGCTAAAACTTATCGGTGGATCTTTATGCCAAACCCTGATGAATGACAGTGCAAGCCCATAGGACCTACCGTTGCCTGTTACCTCCTCCACCTCATCAAGGAGCCCCCAATTAATTGATTTACCCTTGTCCCTTCTATTCCTGCAACATATCTTGCCATTTTGGTGTAAGTTAGGGCCAGCAAATTAACCAACTTATACCCACAGATGCCCCATAACTTATTTCCATTCCTTGAGTGAAACTATCCCTACACCAAAGCCTCAAATTCCACCACCACTCATGTTGTTGGGATGTAGATATAATAAATGCTCTCAGACCAAGTCCCGACTCGACCCCAGTGATGACATCCCCTTGTCCAATAGTCCATGTCTGACTCTCCACTATTCCAGCAACCTGCTTTCTTCAGCTTCCTGGGTAGTATCTATTAAATAGTCACAGAATGTCACCCAAGGGATGAAAACGTCAACAGTGGGCCTGTTACCAGGCACACCAGCCTGGGTAACCACTTGTACAACTATTCCCATGCTTCTGGACGTATTTGATATACACATTAACCACTCACCATCCTTCTGGTCAACCAGCCAGCAGCTCCTCCATTTCCCCAGGTCCTCACTTGACTTCAACAGATCCTTTATTAATTTTCCTTTCACAAATCCCACACTCCTCCTAGCCTCTACCAACAACTGATATCAAATACAGCTATTAAAACAACGGGCCCTCACATGAATGCATGGATGCATGCCCTTCTCACACGGGGTCATCTATGATCGATTCTGAACTGGGCCTCGCTGCAACCTTGGGTATAACTGGCACACCTTTAGGTCTTTTCAGTCCTGAATCAGATGTAGCTCAGCCAAACGATGTCACAACTTCTAGCCGACGACATATACCAAACAGTCCAAGAGGTGACTCTTAATAAAAGAGTAGTTGCTGGCAGCTGGTAGCACTCTGCATTAGACTACCTACTGACATCTCAGCTGGACCCTTGAAGGACCCTCTGGCAGCACGGAGGTCAACTGAACAGGAAAGGTCACTGGCAGATCAAGCAACAGTCATTGGTATTACTAAAACAGGCCCCAGGCTTTCCTGAATCGCCGCTGATTTTTTTGTTTGCATCATCCTGCTTGGATATAAATTATATGGTCCCATGTTATCTTTCAGGAAGTTATAACTACTGGACTAATTATATTAGGTCAACCCTACCAATCTGGTCTCTCTCACCTACGAGCCTCGTGTCCTGTGAATATCCACCGTCTACTTCACGATCCTGATGAAATCACCCGCCAGCCCGCCGCGCCACGCCCCCTTGCCGCGTGCTGGCAGGACTCCTCCACATAGAATGTGTGGACATCTGCTCCCTCTGTTCTGGACCTTGCAGGGAACAGCGGTCCCCACCCCTCACCTTTCTCAGACCCCTCCAGGGGACTAATGTCATGACTTGTGACATCCAAACCTAACCTTGCAGAGTTTTCCCACATCATAGTGGAACTTAATGTAAAAGACATATAGGTTGGCAAGGAAAAATAAGCTTTTGTAGATAACATGAGAGTCTACATGAAAAAGCCCAAAGAATCTACAGAAAAGCTACTTGAAATATGAACTTTGGCAAGATTGTAGGATGACAAGGTCAACGTAAATCAATTGTATTTCCATATACTAGCAATGAACAATAGGAAATAAAAATTTGAAAAATAACACTATTTAATTAGCGCCAAAATACATGGAATATTTAGGCATAAATATAATAAAATATGCACAGGACCTATATGCTGAAAACTACAAGTTACTAATGAAAGGATTCTTAAAGAAATAGAGACATACCATGTCCATGGTTTAGAACATTCACTATTGTTAAGATGTCAATCCCAAACTCATTCAGATATTCAATACAATCCTAACAAAAATCCGAGCAAGCTTACTTTTAGAATCACAAAGCTGATTCTAAAAACTATGGAAAGGTAAATAAATTAGAAGAGCCAAAATAATTTTGAAAGAGAATGAGGTTGCAAGACTCAAAACCACCTGATTTCATTCTATTAAAGCTTTAAGAGTCATGGTTGTACAGTGAGCAGAGGCCAGAAAGACGCACAGATGTAATGCCAATGGATTTTTCACAAAGGTACAACAGAAACTTAATGTCAAAAGGACACATAATTTGATGCCCATAAGCAAAAAAGAGGACCTTAATAACTCAAATGGATAACTGTCTAAAATATAAAACCTCAAACTATAACATACTATTTAAAAAAAAAAAAAGAGCAAAATCTTGGTAATGTTGGATGAGGCAGACTTCTTATATCTGAAACCAAAGAATACTACCAATGGCAAAATATGAATTTCATTACAATTTTATGAGAAAAACATTAACAGGATAAAAACAAAAGCCATATACTTACAGGCGATAGAGTGTTTATCCATAACATAAAAATAACTCTTAAAAATCAAGAACAAGTGGGGCCAGCATTGCGGCACATCGGGCTAAGCTGCTGCATGTGACACCAGCATCCCATACTGGGGTGCTGGTTCAAGTCCTGGCTGCTCCGCTTCCAACCCAGCTCCCCACGAACGTGCCTGGGAAAGCAGCAGATGGTCCAAGGACCTCTCACCCATGTGGGAGACCCAGATGAAGGCCTGGTCCAACCCTGGCTGTTACAGGCATTTGGGGAGTGAACCAGCAGATAGAAGACTTCTCTCTCTGCCTCTCCTTCTCTCTGTGACTGTCTTTCAAATAAATAAAATAAATCTTTAAAAAAAAATAAAAAATACTTTCCCCATATAAGACAGCAATACTGTTAGGTATTTATGAAGGAAAAGTTTTTTTTTTTTTTTTGACAGGCAGAGTTAGACAGTGAGAGAGAGAGACAGAGAGAAAGGTCTTCCTTTTGCCATTGGTTCACCCGCCAAGTGACCACTATGGCTGGTGCCAATCCGAAGCCAGGAGCCAGGTCTTCTCCCGGTCTCCTATGGGGTGCAGGGCCCAAGCACTTGGGCCATCTTCCACTGCACACCCAGGCCACAGCAGAGAGCTGGCCTGGAAGAGGGGCCAACTGGGACAGAACCAGCGCCCCGACCGGGACTAGAACCCAGGGTGCTGGCGCCGCAGGCGGAGGATTAGCCTAGTGAGCCGTGGCACCAGCTGAAAAGCTTGTTAATACACAAAACTGTATGCAACTGAATATAGCTGTTTTCTTCACAACCACTAAATCTGGAAACCCAAATAACCTTCGAGTGGTGAGTGAGTCACCAAACCGTGGTGCGTCCACCCAGGAGAGCACTACTCAACAGAAAGGAACGACCGTGGGAACAGAGGAGTACACCTCAAAGGCATCGAGCCGAGAGAAGCCATAGTCAAGACTACATACTACAGGATTTCACTGACACGACATTCTGGAAAGGTAAACCACAGACAGGAAAACGGCCAGTGGTTGTCAAGTGGCAACGGGAAAGGCGCTGACTCCACAGGATAAAGGAACTCCAGGATGAGTCGCGCTGGCCCCCTTAACTGTCTTCACTACGGCAGTACGTGCTTGATGGCAGGCATCTGCCCAAACTCTAAGGCTTTTACTGTGCACAAAATAGTCTCAATTAAAAAAAAAAAAAAAGAATGTTAAGCTTGTTGGCTTTTCATAAATAACTTCTAATTTCTTACTTTTGTGTGTGTGTGTGTGTGTGTGTGTGTGTGAACAGGCAGAGTTAGACAGTGAAAGAGAGACAGAGAGAAAGGTCTTCCTTCCATTGGTTCATCCCCCAAATGGCCGCCATGGCCAGCGCTGTGCCGATCTGAAGCCAGAAGCCAGGAGCCAGGTGCTTTTCCTGGTCTCCCATGGGGTGCAGGGCCCAAGCACCTGGGCCATCCTCCATGCACTCCCAGGCCACAGCAGAGAGCTGGCCTGGAAGAGGGGCAGCCGGGACAGAATCCGGGGTGCCGGTGTCACAGGTGGAGGATTAGCCTGGTGAGCCATGGCGCCGGCTGATAACTTCTAATTTCATTGAGGTACTTTAATACTGAGTTGATGTTGAAAACTGCCAAACATTTTCTCTGAATCTATTGCGGAAATCACATATTTGATCACAAAAACTCAGAGTACTTAATCAACCCACGTGAAGTTAAAGAACAGAAAATGGTCACAATTGTTGGCACTGATATGAGGAAATTTTAATAGAAATTTTGTGGACATTGATCTTGATTACGATGATGTAAGTGCATATATTTGTCAAAATTTAGGAAGGCATTAATGAGATTTATCCAGGGCATTACACTACTGCATGCAAATTATACTTCAATTAAGTACCGTCTGTGTACAAAAGTGCTGATCACAACCCACTGAACTGGCTTTTGGACCCGATGGACTGCAACCATCTGTCTGACAACTGTCAGTTCACAGGACCCACAGGGCTGGGGACACGAGCCTGTTATGTCAAACCCGGGTGTCCTTCCTCTCAGCCTCGCAGGACTGTTCTCAGGACAATCTTACAGAAACCTTTAGGGATAAACTGAACCAAAAAATAAGTGTTCTTTCTGCTCATTTAAACGCATACAATGTATTAGGCACTGCAAAGGCAGAGCAGATCTGGCACCGACCAAGTCCCCACCCTCTCGGAGCCCCTCTGCTAGGGAGCAGGTGCCGGCCTTCCCGTCAGTACTTCTGCTTCACTCCAGGTCAGACCCGTCTCTCCTGAGCCTCCCCTGGCTTACCCATTAAGGTCAAGAATCTGAATGATTCATCCGGCTCCACCCTCCCAAGGCTTCTCTGCTGTGGCATCTCCCGACCACCGTGATGTGCCCAGCTCTGGCTCACCTCTGACCCCTTTATGGATCAATGTTCTATCCCCTATGAGAGCGCTGACACTTGGAGGGTCTCAGCACCCGGGTGAGACACTTTGTGGAGCTTACTTCCTGGGTGCCCCCTCTGAAGGGAAGTCCTTGTCCCCCTCGCCATCAGCGTGCACTCGCTGATGAATGACGAGACTGGAGCTCCAGCTGAAGCCCCTCCCACACGCCTCGCATCGGTACGGCTTCTCTCCGGTGTGCACTCTCTGATGGGCTTGGAGGTAGGAGCTCCAGCTGAACACCTTCCCACACTCCTCGCACTTGTAGGGTTTCTCGCCAGTGTGGACCCTCTGGTGGGCTTGAAGGTAAGACCTCTGTCTGAAGCGCTTCCCGCACACATCACACCGGTACGGTTTCTCACCCGTGTGGACTCCACAGTGAGCCAGAAAGTTGGAGGCCCGACAGAAGCCCTTGCCACACTCCTCACACTGGTACGGCTTCTCCCCCGTGTGGCACCTCTGATGGGCCTGCAGCTGGGAGCCCACGCTGAAGCCCTTCCCACACTCCGCGCACTGGTAGGGCTTCTCGCCAGTGTGGACCCTCTGGTGCACCTGGAGGCTGGAGAACTGGCTGAAGGCCTTCCCACACTTCTCGCATTTGTAAGGCTTCTCCCCCGTGTGGATGCGACAGTGCACGTTCAGATCTGAGCTCCGGCTGAAGCCCTTCCCACAGGTGGCGCACTTGTACGGCTTCTCCCCGGTGTGGCCTCGCTGATGGGCCAGCAGATTGGAGGCCTGACTGAAGCCCTTCCCACACTCCTCGCATCTGTAGGGTTTCTCTCCCGTGTGGACTCTAAAATGAATGTTGAAGTCGGAGCTCCGGCTGAAGCCCTTCCCACACACGTCACACTGGTACGGCTTCTCCCCGGTGTGGCCTCGCTGATGGTCCAGCAGGTTCGAGGCCCGACAGAAGCCCTTGCCGCACTCCTCGCATCTGTAGGGCTTCTCCCCGGTGTGGCTGACCTGGTGGGCCTGGAGGTGGGAGCCCACGCTGAAGGCCTTCCCGCACTCGGCGCACTGGTAGGGCCTCTCGCCAGTGTGGGTCCTGCAGTGGATGTGCAGGTGTGAGCTGTAACTGAAGCCCTTGCCGCACGCGTCGCACCTGTACGGCTTCTCTCCGGTGTGGATGCGCTGATGGGCCTGCAGCCGGGATCGCCAGCTGAAGCCCTTGCCACACTCCTCACAGCTGTAAGGTTTAGTTCCAGCGTGGCCCCTCCGGCGGCCCTGAAGACACGAGTGCTGGCTGCGGCCCACCCCGCACGCCTCGCACGTGTGGAGTTTCTCCCCTGTGTGGACGGTCAGCGGAACCTGACAAGAGGACAGTTTCCCAGGATTCCTCCCACATTCCCCACATGTGGCTGGCTTCTCTCCGGTGGGGACTCGCTGCTGACGGCGACTTTGCGACCTCTGGCTCGCCCGCTCTCTGCTGTGGGCTCTCTGATGGGCCTGAAGACTTGAGTGCCGCCGGAAGGCGTCACCACACTTCTCACACGGATAGGGCTTCTCTCCGGCGTGGGCCCTCTGCCTAATTGGAAGACGACAGTGCCAGCTGAGTCCTTCCGCACGGTCCTCCCCGCCGGGAGGTTTCTCACCAGCGTGGACTCTGTACTGAGCGTGAAGCTGTGAGCTCTGGTTCCAGCCTTCGCTGAACTCCCCGTCTTTATCGAGTGTGTCACGCTGGTTCTTCAACTCAGTGCCAGTTCTCTGAATGCCCGCCAGGGAGTCTTGACGCCCGGCCAACTCCACAGTGAACTGCTGCCAAGTTTGTGAACGGAAAACCTCTTCGCGTGGTAGATGCCTTAATCCTACTTCCATCTCATTTAGGTTCTTGCCTCCTGGAAGGATAAGAGAATTCGGATGGGACACGTCAGTGCTTTGTTCCGAGACGTCAGCACCGTGAACTGAGCCCCACAGCCCGAAGCTTGACTGAACCAGGGAAAGGCTGAGTTTTCTTCATCATCAGGCATCACCTTACCCGACCCGGATGCCCCCAGAAACCCGGAGCAGGTCTGCCAGGCTCGGCTCACCATGCATTAGTCCTGTGTTTTATTAATGAGCTACAAATAGGAAATGCGGTGGCCGCAGAGAAAGAAGTACGCGTCCTTGCAAACCTTGACCAAGCCGCGCCTACCTAAAAGCCTTGTCTTCTTCAGCCGCAGCAGGTGTCTGACACACAGCGTCCATGTTATTCTGCCCACTTCATGGACATCTGAACCAAGGTGAAAGCCCTACAGACAGATGTCCACAGGCAGTGGTGAGAACCTCTACCCTGGATTATTTCACTGCAAGTTGACTTCAATGTTGGGAAGCCTGGAGGCACTGGACTGGTTGCAAAGACATACATTTGGAGGAGAAACCCCTTATCACCAGCTGCCTCCAGTTCCGAGTGTGAGCAGTACGTCCTTTCTCTCCTGCAGGGCTGTGTCCTCCAGCTTTATAGTCATAACATCCATTATTTCAAAGCCTGTGGCAGTTAAAGCCTACAGCCTTCACAGAACAGAGTAAGATGGATGGCCGGCGCTATGGCACAGTGGGTAAACACCCTGGCCTGCACTGCCGGCATCCCATATGGGCGCCGGTTCGGGACCCAGCTGCTCCACTTCCGATCCAGCTCTCTGCTATGGCCTAGGAAAGCAGCAGAAGATGGCCCAAGTGCTTGGGCCCCTGCACCCACATGGGAGACCTGGAAGAAGCTCCTGGCTCCTGGCTTCAGATCAGCGCAGCTCCGGCAGCTCTGGCTGTTGCGGCCAATTGGGGAGTGAACCAGCGGATAGAAGACAGACCTGTCTCTGTCTCTCTCTCTCTCTCTCTCTCTCTCTCTCTCTCTCTCTCCCCCTATGCCTCTCTGTAGCTCTGCCTTTCCAAATAAATAAATAAATCTCTTTTTTAAAAAAAAGTGCTTGGGCCAGCAGATGGAAGACTTCTCTCTCTCTCTGTCTGCCTCTCCTCTCTCTGTGTAACTCTGATTTTCAAATAAATAAATAAATCTTTTTTTTTAAAGAGTAAGACGGAAAGCTGATCTTTAGCTACAAGCAGGAGCCTGTGAGGAGGCACACAGAGCAGTGGTCAAGACTCCCAGGGCCGGGCTGGCATGGCGGCACAGCACGCTAAGGCACACCCATGATGCAGGCATCCCCTGTGGGCGCCAGTTCGTGCCCTGGCTCTCCACTTGTGATCCAACTGCCTGCTCACAGCCTGGGAGAAGCACAGAGGGTGGCCCAGTACTTGGGCCCTGGCCACCCATATGGAAGACCCAGAGGAAGCTCCTGGCTGCTGGCTTCAGCCTGGCCCAGCGCTGGCTGCTGCAGTCATCTGGGGAGTGACCCAGCGGATGGAAGAGATCAGCTTAGATTCATTCATAGAACACACACTTGGGACTGGCACTGTGGCGCAGTGGATTAAGCCACCACCTGGGATGTCATCATCCCATATGAGCGCCAATTTAAGTCCCAGCTGCTCTGCTTCCGATCCCGCTCCCTGCTAAGCACCTGGGAAAGAGCAGCAGATGGTCAAAGTGCTTGGGGGGGCAGCGCTATGGCGTCGGGGGTAAAGCCACCCCCTGCTGTGCAGGCATCCCATATAGGCGCCGGTTTGAGACCCGGCTGCTCCACTTCTGATCCAGCTCTCTGCTGTGGCCTGGGAAAGCAGCAGAAGATGGCCCAAGTCCTTGGGCCCCTGCACCCACACGGGAGACCTGGAAGAAGCTCCTGGCTCCTGGCTTTGGATCGGTACAGCTCCGGCTGTTGCATGGGGAGTAAACCAGCGGATGGAAGACGGACCTCTCTCTCTCTCGGCCTCTGCCACTCTGTAGCTTTGCCTTTCCAAATAAATAAATAAATCTCTTAAAAAAAAAATGCTTGGGCCCCTGAGCTCACGTGGGAGACCCAGATGGAGTTCAGGCTCCTGGCTTTGGCCTGGTCCAGTTCCAGCCATTGCAGTCATTTGTGGAAGGAACCAATGGATGGAAGATCTCTCTCCCTCTCTCTCTGTACCTCTGCCTTTCAAATAAATAGATCTTAACACACACACACAGTTAAACACACTTTAACTAGGGGACTACCAGAACAATTCCAATGATCAGAGAGTTGGAGTCTAGTTCAAGCGCTCGGAAGCCCTGCGCTTCTAAGGACAGAACACGGCAGGGAGTGGACGTTCTGCCAGAGCGCGCCCGTCCTCACCCACGGACAGCAGGTTCCGGAAGTTCTCCAGCATCACAGCCCGGTACAGCGCCCTCTGCGCCGCGTCCAGCAGCCGCAGCTCCTCCTTGGTGAAGACCACGGCCACGTCCTGGAAGGTCACCGCCTCCTGCAACACCAAGCGCACGCAACCTCAACCTTGAGCCACAGTCTGCTGGAGGAACGACCACACTGAGAAGACGCACGGGGCGTGGGTGCAGTCTCGGGCCAGACTCTCGCCGCACTCACAGCTCGGTCACACTGCAGGCTCCTTCCTCTCGTGATACACACCGGCCCGTCTATCTAACATTTTCCTGGGATAAGAAATTATCCACTTCTTGGACAATTTCCAAGAAGAGCAAATTCCTGTCAAAGCACAGACGACGTCAAGACTGTGACGCACAATGGCGATTTTCTTGTCCACTCTTCGCCTATCTTTGTCTTCCTCCCACAGAATACAAGAGGACTTCAGAGAGTTCACAGGCAATGAGTATCATGAAAAAACTATGCATGTGCACAGACACCAGATGTTTTTGTACCAAAATAAACTTATCTTGGAGCTGGTGCCGTGGCACAGCAGGTTAAGCCGCCACCTGTAGCGCCAGCAACCCATATGAGCACCAGATCAGGTGCCGGCTGCTCCACTTCCCATCCTGCTCCCTGCTAACGCACCCGGGGAAGCAGCGGAAGGTGGCCGAAGTGCCTGGGCCCCTGCACCCACGTGGGAGACCTGGAGCACGTTCTAAGCTCCTGGTTCATGGCTTCGGGCTGGCCCAGCCCCAGCTGTTGTGGCCATTCAGGGAGTGAACCAGTGGATGGAAGATCTCTCTCTCTGTCTCTCCTCTCTCTGTAACTCTTTCAAATAAATTAATTATTTTTAAAATAAATAAATAATAAACTTACATTTTACTTCTATGAACTTTTTGAAGCACCCTCATGTACATATCACTGATTCTTCATACCATAAAAAGCTTTAAATATAATCAATTTAAAAAAAAAATCTTGGGTAATCTGATTGGTAAAAAACCAAACAACTTACTTTGGTTCCTTGTACGTATTTGATAGTTAATAAGATCACATTTTTATATATTTTCTAGCCACCTTTGTTTTGTCTTAGGCACCTTTTTATTATCGCTTTGCTCATATGTCAACTATAGTTTTACCTGATGACTGTAAAACTTCTCCTAAAGACCTTGAAGGAATGTAGACATTTTCACCACAACCTGCTATTGTTCTTCACAGCCGTATTCTCACCCTTGGCACTCCCGACACCTGGCGCCCGCTCGTCTGTGCCGAGGGTGCCTGGTGCGCTGTGGAATGTGTGGCTGCACCCCCAGCTTTCGCCCACGAGATGCTGATGCTCCCAACCGGGGGCAGGCGTGGCCTGGAAGGGGACGATCACCCACGACGAAGAATCGCTGGGCTTCCCTGCTCACTTCTCACATGCAGCCAGGCTAATTCCCACGCCCCACGAGTGACGGTGACCGCAGAGACGGGGCCACTGAAGAGTGACCAGATGGGGCAGCGCCATCGGCCACATCTTCCACCTAGGACAAGCGAAGCACCGCACAGCGAGGGCTGATGCCTTTCCCCCCTCCCCTCTTTATCCAAGCAAAAAGCCTGGCAGTGTTTTGGAATCAGCTGATCTGGTTTTCAGGAATTTTCTGGAGGCATATAATACTGACTCCGGAACGCGTGTAAAGCCAAGGACCGCCCCTTACGGGGGCCTGAGGAGTAATGCAGTAAGAAGAGTGCCTGGAAAGCCCTCTCATGCTACAGGACCATAATAAATCATTCCCTCAATAAATAAATAAATAAATCATTCCCTCAATAAATAAGCAAGTACAATAAACGCAGAAACATGTGTCAGTAAGGAATGACATACAGGGGACATGAAAACACCTAGTGTGTTCTCTGACCAGTCACATCGTGTTGTGCCATGCCACATTCCAACAGTTCCACAGATAAAGTATCAAAAGTATTTTTTCAATGCAGTATTCGTAAAACATTTAGAACAACAGAATTCCTTTAAACTCCTTTTTAGGGAAGATGGATGCATGTTTATAACTATTACTAAAATATTCCTTAAGGGGGCTGGCGCTGTGGTGCAGCGGGTTAATGCCCTGGCCTGAAGCGCCGGCATCCCATATGGGCGCCGGTTCTAGTTCCCGCTGCTCCACTTCCAATCCAGCTCTCTGCTGTGGCCTGGGAAAGCAGTAGAAGATGGCCCAAGTCCTTGGGCCCCTGCATGCACGTGGGCGATCCAGAAGAAGCTCCTGGCTCCTGGCTTCAGATCAGCTCAGCTCTGGCCGTTGTGGCCATCTGGGAAGTGAACCAGCAGATGGAAGACCCCTCTCTCTCTCTCTCTCTCTGCGTAACTCTGACTTTCAAATATATAAATAAATAAATCTTTAAAAAATTCCTTAAAATAATGAAAATTCAAAACTCCATGAATGGCCATGAAAGGGGTAAAGTACCTTACACACCCACACAACAAAGTTCACCAATTCAAGGGACTATGAGGCAGCCATGGAAAATGAAGGGCGAGCAGTATTAATCGGAAGAGCTGTAGCTTGAGACTGTTACGTTACAAACACCCAGTCAGGAATACAGATGAGGAAGAGAACCGCTGTTTTATAAGGCAAATGGTAGGGAAATGGGAGATTTTTGCTCACTCTTACTGATTTTTCTGCCCCATTTACTTACCGACTTATAAAGTGATTGGAATAAAACAACACAAGCTAAACCACACTAACATAAAATGTGGCAAGCAGCTGACACAGCAGAGGTTCTGCAACACCCACATTCTCCCCGATCCTCCTAAGAGAGACAACTTGTGTGTCACTGTCGAGTGAGTAGAGGGTAACTGAAAACCAAGGCAGAGGGGCCCACACCCACCTTGAGTTTGGTCATTCTGGCGGCCTCCTCGGGGCAGGGCTGAGTCTGAGCACGGCCTCACGGGGGAGAAGTGCAGAGCAGTGCGAGTCCAGTCCGGGGTGCTGGGGGTCCAACGGGGACAGCGCCCCCTCCTTGTGGTGGCTCGATGGGCGCAGCGGAGGGTGGATCCAGACACCACTCCCCACCCCCACGGTTCCTGGCAGTGAATGAGCCGCCGAGCCACACACACGTTCTGGACATACGACTCCTGATTCTAGACAGCAAAAACAGACCCAGGTTAAGAGCAACGGCTGGGGCCACTGCCCAGGTTCATGGCCTTGCTAGTAATTAGCTGTGAAATCCTGGCTAAGCTAGTCACGTCCACACGGCTCAATTTCTTTCATCCATAAAATAGATATGAACAATGAGAGAACTGACAACGTCATAGGATCATGGAAGAATTAAATGAGCACGGACAAAGCTCAAAGCACACTTGCCGGGCACGATATTTCCTCTTGGATGCTAACCAGTAGGTGATACTCAGTACCACAAAGCCCGTCCTCATGCGTGGAGAACTAACGGAGTCTTCGGAGGGTATCAGTCTATCACAGGAAGTCTCACTGAGCCTCTGCGACACCTGTCATCGCTCAGCTGGTCATCCTTAATTTGGCGCCTTTGCAATAATATTTAAGATTCCACAGGTGACTAGGTTTTGGGGGCAGTAAAACGTAACACGTAAAGTGCATGGTTTTAACCATTTTTAATGACGAGCACAGCCCAGGAGGTACATCCACGCCGCTGTGCAACCATCGCACCGTCCACCTCCACAACCCTGCCTCACTGCAAACAGAACGCTGCACGCCTCCTGCCCCAGGCCCTGGGAACCACTCGTCTACGCATGTGGCGGGATCTTGAAAGACACAGACCTGGCAAAATTTACTTTGTTGATTCCAGGGCCCTAAAAAGACTGTCACGGAGATAAGAAAAGCGAATAAGAACTGGTAACTCTGCAAGATTTATTTGACCATAATCTTGGTCATCAGTATGTCACTGAAGTTAACCATGTATAGCAATCATAACAAAAACAACAAGAGCGACCCTGTTTCACGGGACTTAAACACCAGGTGCACGTAGGGGCCCCCGGAGCGCTCGGCATGCGCTGCTTCCCAGGGAACCCCGCACATACCTGTGAGGAAGCCACCGCTCCGCCGGCTGTGACGCTGGTCCAGGCACACCAACCTCTACGCCTACATTCAACACAAGAGAGAAGACGTCACCAGATGGCTACTGGGGGGATAAGTGGACGGACGTGCGCAGTGCCATCGGCACAGGGTTTGGCATCCGAGGACGTGCACAGCAAACGAGGAAGACAGCAGCTGTTGTACCCATCTAACAGGCGAGGAAGCTGAGGCGTGGCGGGATCAATAGGAAGGAGCGGTGCCTGAATCTGGTCCCCAGACAGACCGACTCCCGAGATCCTGGCTCTGTTGTATTTGTTTGTTTTTGTTTAGAGACAGAGAGAGAAATCCCATCCACTGCTTAATTCCTCATCGCCTGCACTCGTCAGGACCGGGCCAGGCTGAAAACGGGGGCCAGGAATTCAACCCAGGTTCCCACTCGGTGGGAAGAACCCAACGACCCGAACCAGCACCGCTGCCTCCCAGGAACACATCAGAAGGAGGACGGGAGCAGCAACAGAACCAGGCCTCAACCCCAGGCCCTCGGACACGGGGTGCAGGGGCCCTAACTGGCGTCTTCGCCTCAGGCCAGCTCACCCCTGTCCTTGCTGCTTCTAAAAACAAAAACTGGCAAATGGGAGTCTCTGTCGCAGGGAAGGAGAGATCGCAGCTTGCGAGCCGAGCCGGGGGCGGAAGAGACGGCGAGAGGACCCTGGAGCAAAGGACCTGCCTGGGGTGAAGACAGCAGAGCGCGAGCAGGGCAGGCTCTGAGCCGACCTGCAGCATTCGCACGCCGGCATCTGCCACCTGCTGGCACTCTGTGCCTCAAAGTCCCCTACAAACTGCAGATAACAGAACAACACCAGTGTCGTAAAAACGCTAGCTGATCTCAGTAACAGGAAATACGTAACATATCAGCTGTCCCCCTACCGCATGGCTGCTAGACATGAGCTGGGCCAGAAGCCCCCCTACCTCAGCGGTGGGGGCCGAGTGCTTACGGCCTCTCAACACCCACAAGCTGAGGCCGTGACGTGATGGCGTCAGGAGGACCATGTCCTCAGGAGGGGACCAGAGTCCTTCCAGGAACAGTTAACACCCGGCGGGGGCTGGATTATGCTCCTCCCAGAACTGAGGGTGAAGCTCCAACCTCGGTACCTGAGAAGGTGACCGGACTCAGTGCCTGAAGGAGGCCTCAGAGAGAAACCAAAGCTGCTGGCACCTTGGTCTTGGCCTTGGCCTCCAGTACCCGAGAAAACACCCTCCCGTGCAAGCCCTCGTCTGTAGCGCTTCGTTACAGCAGCCCTAGCGAATGAGTATGTTCTCCCTTTCCTTGGTCTCTGTCCAGAAACAATTTACAAGCACCGATTTTAGTCCCACTGACTCAACATCTGAGTTTGCCTAAAAAAAAAAAAAAAAAAAAAAAAACTCGAAGAAAAAAATGCATGTGGAGCGTGGGGGATAAGCCCAAGATTAGCAAGGATCCAGGTAGGGTAACTCTTCCATGACATTGTCATAGCATACATCAAAACAGGTTTGGAAGTTTCCAGAGTAAAGAAATAGAAAGCAAAAACTTGGGGCCGGCGCCGCGGCTCACTAGGCTAATCCTCCGCCTTGCGGCGCCGGCACACCAGGTTCTAGTCCCGGTCGGGGTGCCGGATTCTGTCCCGGTTGCCCCTCTTCCAGGCCAGCTCTCTGCTGTGGCCCGGGAGTGCAGTGGAGGATGGCCCAAGTGCTTGGGCCCTGCACCCCATGGGAGACCAGGAGAAGCACCTGGCTCCTGGCTTCGGATTAGCATAGCTCCGACTGTAACAGCCATTTGGGGGGGTGAACCAATGGCAAAGGAAGACCTTTCTTTCTCTGTCTCTCCCTCTAACTCTGCCTGTCAAAAAAAGCAAAAACCCATTATCAGGGGCCACTGCTGTGGCGTAGCAGGTAAAGCTGCCACCTGCAGTGCCAGCATCCCATATGGGCACCAGTTCTAGTCCCGGCTGCTCCTCTTCCAATCCAGCTCCCTGCTGTGGCCTGGGAAAGCAGATGGCCCAAGTCCTTGGGCCCCTGCACCCACGTGGGAGACCCAGAAGAAGCTCCTGGCTTCGGATCAGCACAGCTCCAGCTGTTGCGGTCAACTGGGGAGTGAACCAGCGGATGGAAGATCTCTCTCTCTCTCTCGCTCGCTCTCTCTCTCTCTGCCTCTCCTTCTCTGTGTAACTCTGACTTTCAAATAAATAATCTTTAAAAAAAAAACCATTACGAGTAGTGTGTAACAATTTCATAAAATATAAAACGCTTAAAAAACTGCTAAGCAGAAATGAACTTAAATTCTAATACTTATCTATATCCTAGTATAACAGATAATTCTTAAGGTTTTCATGATATTTCGCATTTTCCAGAATCTTCTACAATAAGCATATTTTTATGATCAGAAGTATATATATATATATATATATTGTTTAAAAATAAAGTTAAAAGAGAAATGTTACAAAATTTTATAAAGAAACGCAAGCTCAGGAATCAGCTTTCTTTAAAACCCTCTACAATAGAACTTCATCCACCCTCCCTAACTTGACTCCTCTGCAGCCGGGTTTCCTACGGTCGCATATTCGCACGGACGGCTTTCCTATTTGATTTCCTAATTCCAACGCTGGCATCCCAAACAGTGGGACCACGGATAGCCAAAGACCACGGATAGCCCCACCGTTACGACCAGCGCTGTGACACCGGGCACCCAACCCGGCGCAGGCTCTCTGCCTCCACTTCCCCAACAGCCACCCGCACCCGGGGTCTTTGTGCAAAGTTAAGTGCGCACATTTTTGCGCCTTGGAAATAACACTTGGCGCTCAGTCGGTGCTTAACCGCTCACAGTTTCCCAACCATTCAACAAAACGCACAGGAGCCCGGGGCTCGCTCCCTCCTCCTCTCTTTGGCCCTCTTTCAACAACCGGGGCTGGAGGGGGACAGGAGGCTGAGACAGACCCCCGGGACCCCCGCCCCGGCTGCGAGGCCAGCAGCAGCCCAGGAGCGAGCCCCCTTTCCTGCAGGGATCGGGCGGCAGAGTCGGGGACACGGCCCGGGGCCACAGCAGGTGTCACGGTCACAGCCACCGCTCGCCGCGCGCCCGCGGTGTCCCGCACACTGCGCGCGCACCGCGCGGGTCCAAGGCGGCCGGGGAGGCAGCGGAGGCCAGCGCCCCGCCGCCAGGAAGGGACCGAGCGCGGGGAAGCCGGGGGCAGGCGGGCCCGGCCGACCCCCGAGTGCGTGGGGTCGGGTCCACCTTCCGGACCCGGACCCA